GCCGCCGCCGCCGCCGCCGTCGCTGTGATGGAGGATCTTCCTTGGTGGGCCCGTGCAGTGGGCCCGGAAAACGGCGTCCGCCGCGGCGGCAGCGGCGGCGGTGCGACGACGCCGACTTCACCGTCATTATCATCCTCCTCATTATCTGCGCCGTTGTGGGTGGGGTTTAAGATGACGCCAAACGGCGGCTCAGGCGGTGTTTTCCGAATGGGCACCGTCGTGCTGCGGTCATCATCTGGGTTTTGGGGAAATAATAATAACAATAATAATAATAATAATAATAACAACAATTCCCCACCCCCTACGTCGTCTCCAGTCACTGGCGGCACCTCTACGAGGGGTTTGGGTTTCGGCTCGGTTGCTGGTCCGGGGTCAGGAATGGGCCTTTCGGGGACTGGTGGGCCGTTGGGATCGCTTTGGCAGCATTTCTATAATGTTACGCCGCCGCCGCCGACGACGACGACGACGACGACGGCGACCACGGCGATGGCGACGGCAGCGCGCATGTTGTGATTGTGAAAAACGGGAAAGGAAGGCATTGCGTTTTGTGAGATGGATGCCGCAGGTGTGTGTGCAGGTGTCTGCAGGGGAGTTGGCGCGGAATCGTAACATTGCGAGAAAGTGCACATTCACACAAGGGCACATGCGGAAATGCGAAGGAAGCGGAGTTGTGGCTGGCCTGCTGTCTTGTTATGTTCTGAATCGTAAGGTAAATTTTTGGGCCCTAGTACGGTAGAGTAGTGAGGGTAGGAGGGTAGAAATACTAAAAAAGTTGTCGTACTTTGACGCAGCACGACAGCTTGTGGGGGAAACATTGGAGTGGAGAACGTAGGGGATAGTAGACCTGATTCATGTTTTTTGGATTGGGGCCGCCTAGCTGTTAACCTTTTGCTATCGGAAACTATCGGACCCGTCTCCTGCCCTCCTCGCGTGATTTTTCGGTTTTTCGTGCTCTCGTTAATCCGATTAGGGTTTACGAGGGCGGAAAGCACTAAGGTCGCTGACCTTAGGTCAGAATGCAGCAATGTGAAGAGCTTTTGAAGAATTTCCTTAGGAAAGGAAAAAAGTTTGTGTCGTTTGTGTCGTGTGCATAGTCCTAACAGATAGTGGGGACTGGCTGCTGCTGCTGCTGCTGCACTCCGAAGCAGATGGAAAAGAAATGAGGTGGCTCCCGGGGCGGCATCCCTTACAGCCGGAAAAGATTGGAGGTCTCTTTTGGGGAGATCGATCTGCGGATCTGGCTCGCTGACCTTACTTATAGTTCTTGTTGTTGTTTTTGTTGTTAAAGTTGTTGTCTTATGTGGGCGTGTTGAAGCTATCATGTAATCGAAGGGACTGTCCTTGTCCGTGACTATGGGGAAGGATGTTTTGGTGTGTACACGGTACAATTTGCAAATGCCGCTTGGTTGAGTGATCAAGAGTGTGACACATAGAACTCGCAAGTTGCTTGCTAGAACGCACATGCACAGCGTTCGCTGGCAAAACAAAAGATGCATCATATCGGCCAGAAGATGAAATAAGATTGGTGCAGCACAGCGACTATGGTACCGACCGTGGGAAATTCAAAACTTGCAACGGATTACACTCCAATGGTGGGTCCAAATCATACACAGGGATAAAAAACCGTAACCGTTACTCAGTAAATGAGGGACTCCCAGCAGCTCTCCAAGAGAGCCTCAATTTTCACAGTTCCCAAAACGTGCAAGCATAGAAAGCGGACGGCGAGACGCGTAAATAGTCGTTCCTATCGGTGTCGAAGACCTAGGCATGCCGCAAAGTGGGCACGGGCACAGGATACAACTTCTCAGCATGATGTGAACCTCTGACGAAGACGGAGGTCTATTGACTTTAATGGCTATACTTGCAATTCTTTTTTTGTCACAGCAATACCCGGGGTGATGAACAAGAACGTTTGGACCTTAATTTGGAAGCTGTGATGTTGTTAATCTTACAGGCAAAAGCACTTCCAACAATACGGGATATTTATTTTACTTTTTTTTCTCCTCAAGACGGCTAAGACGGCTTGGACTTCCAAAATGCTACGACTGTAAAGGCCGGAACGCTTGCTCGTCCAGCGCCCAACCAAGAGAAAGGTAAATTTTTACCTACGCTACGATGGGAGGATGCCGAACAGGTTCCAGGAGCGGGTTTGAGCAAACCGTGTTGCCAGCTTCGCCTCGCAGTATAATTGTTGATTCGTTGCAGCAGCAGCTGCTGCGCAGTATGCAGCCGTAGCCTTAAATATCTTTCCCTTTCTTCCTTTCGTCGTAATAAGAAAAAAAATATTTCGTGGTGGAATGCTTTAAACTAAACTGTAAAGAGCGCACAGCGCTCTCTTCATTTGGCAACTTATAATTTGGGGACTTATATTTCCCGGAAGAAACGTAAAGGAACTATCCCTCTCACGGATTTGCTCTACGACTGCAGTCGTAGACTACACTCGTAGTTTTTTTTGTAGGAATTCGTGCGTGGCCTAAGCCATCCAGATTCCGCGGCGCGCCCAATCGCGCAAGGCGTGCGCAGGTACGGCAAAATCGGCTGCATGGTGGCAGTTTTCATCGCGGACATTTCGCGGCAGTTTCCCGTAATGTTTTGCGCGCCCGTGCAAGGTCCATATTAGCCTATATACATGTATCGTGCCATTATCTGTAATGTGGAGGAGTTGTGGCCCCTTATCTGAAATGTCATAATGTAATTGTCCATGTAAATCCCCTATAACGCGATTTTCTTAGCTGTCAAGGCCCCTTCGCTCTGAACCACGAGGTATTTCATGATGAAGTCCAAATGGCGCGCGTTTTGGCCGTCATCGCTCTGCAGGGAACCGCTCTTGTTACGGGAATTTCTCGGGGAGATCTTGGTTTTGGAAGCCTGCCTGTAGCTGCTAGAAGATATTGAAGACCCAAGATCTGTCAAACAAGGGCCAAAAAGCAGGTAGATACTCGTGGCCACCAAACGCAATGGGATGCGTCAGGATGCGTCAGGTGTACCGTCAGGGCTAAATCTTTTATCTGGAGCTAATCCCTTTTGGAAGGCATAATTTGAAAGAGGATCCTCGAGACTCAAGCAGTTTATTAGCTTCACAGATGACGCGGTTTCCCGAAAACGATGTTAAATGGAAAACGTCCGACGGGTGATGGCCGATCATGGGACGCAACGCATCTGAACGACGCTTTCAGTTTCGGGAATGTTGTGTTGTGAATTGCCCCAATTCGGTTGTTGCCTGAAGACCTGTCGAGATCATGCCTGTCTCCATATGTGGCAATACCGTACCTACCAGGACAAAAAGCGCGCAAGTCCTTCGGCAAACTTGTGAAATGGCAGTGCTGCGCCTTGGTTGTTGGGCTTAAATTGAAAGGCAATTCTTTTGCGGTGGGTGGGTAGAGTTAGGCGCGTCGATTATGCATAAAGGGGTGGAAAACTGACAGGTAAAATTACCACAGTCAAACGCTCTTGCAAATCAAGGCGTCTACTTATATGAATGCAAGTGTACTTGTTTTACCTACTATGCCAACAGCGAGGCCCGAATTGTATTTGGAGAGAAGCCCTGCGAGTGATGATATGTCGTGCTCATAAAAGTACAAGTGCACAAGGTCGCAAATTACAATAGATCGTAAACACCAAACATGTTTTAGTCACAGCATAGACCACGTTTTAAACAGAATTTTTATATACGAAGCACCCTGAGTGGCAGAAATGCGGCATACAAGGCCATGCATACAACTTTGTTATCCTTTAATGCTTAACTTTCCGCAATTAATTCCAAGAAGGTATCCTCACACGAATTGCCGAGTAGGCTAGCTGTTGCGCGGTCGCACGGGCGTCAGCCAGGGTCCCGTAGAGACCCCAGGGAGGTTTCAACTCGCGCCATACGCGCACACGCAAACTTTTGGCGCAGTCTTCAAGGAGGGCGCTTCTTGCTATCATGAATGGTATTGTTGAGCTGGCCGACAGGACGCGGGATGAGGAGGTCATAGCAATGGAGGCGCTCAAGTCTCTCTCAGAGAGCCAAAGAATAAAGCCATCAATGTTGGATCCAACGATTTCCTTATCAATGCAACGCCAGACGGAGCTACCGGGGCGCTTCAGTCGGATGCACTCTGAGTTACCACAGCAAGCTGGCTATACCAAACAACTCGGTCTTCGAGGCGTCTGGTTCAGTAGGAAGTTGGGGAGATGGCAAGCTGGCATTTCAGCTGCTGGCAGGCAAGTTGACATCTTCGTGACACGCGAAGGCACGGGCATAAAGTTCGATTCGACATTTTCATCTTAGTTTCTGCAGCTGAGTATCATAACTGTGGGCCAAACCTCCATATGCTTGATTCTCTGCCGCCGCAACTCTAGTGCTATAGATAGGCTTCCAAGTATCTGGGATGACAACGCATAATTGGCAACGCCCTGTCCCCAGTTTACTGCATCTCAAATGTCCTCAGTTGCAACGTTTTAATTTCTTTGGAATCAGCGCTTATCTTCTGCTACGTGCTGCCGGATATAAACAACGTGCATCCCGCACAGGACGATAAGCCTTGGTACGTTCACTTCCGAAGAGGAAGCCGCTCGCTTGTATGACAAGGCGGCCCTCCGGATTCGAGGGGCAGCGGCAGCGTTGAATTTCCCGCCGTCCGATTACCTGCTGCCTGATGGAGCTTTGGCTCTGGACCTGCAGGTGTGTGGGAAAGGAAAGCTGCCCTGAGGAGCATACCATACCAGCCTATGCATTTAGCGTTCTTCCGCCTCCGCTCGTCACAAACTACCCGTTTGCGGGAAGGCGGGCGGCTCTCTTTGGCAGCTTGCCGGCCGCTCCTCGAATTCCACTTTTTTGCCCTCGACCTTTCAATGCCGGACCTTTCACCATATAAACGCACTTTTACAAATGGCCCGATCTTAGGCTGCTTGGCTTTTCGTGTGCCGATAGGGAAGAACGAATAAAAGGGCCTAAGGGTGGATTGGTCCAAAAATGAAGAGCGCACGACAAGGCAGTGCTCGGGCCTCCTTCTTCACCACTCATTCGTTTGGGTATGGGATCGTAAGGTGACTAGCCGCTGCTGCCACCGCTGCTCTTTCTGCGGCCCCACGTCCAAGACCTTCACACAATCTCCAGCTTGTACGAAACACAAAACCTTACGCTTCGAAATCCACACACATCACACCTAGACTCTCTGTTAGCAGCGCGTCTCGTGCGACCTCTTGCAAAAAAATCCTTAAATGCGTTTCGGAAAGCGGCCTTCCTCCTTCTGCCATTCCTCCACAGGTTGAAGCTCTTCTCCTGGAATCGTTCCTTGGGCGAAATTTTAACGAAGAGGATCACCAGCAGCAGCAGCTTCCGACAGGAGGAAGCGGTAACAGCGGCGATGAAACGCCGGTGGGTAGAGTGGCTTCATTCCATGGTTTGGAGGGCAAGCTTAAGTATGGATGTGACCGTACAAGTGTCGTCTAGATGCCGCACAGCTCGTATTGATGTCGCATATTGAGTTTAGGGCTGTCGCGTTGTGCAAACATGGACGGGTGGGCATATCTGGTGGGAGGGGCAAAGGTGTGTCTAGGCCCGACCCAGATCGATTTGAAACGGATTCAACTTGACCCACATTCACCGGGTGACCCACATCCACTCCCACGTTCCCGACTGAAATCAGCCCGACCCAAATTATTATTTGCAGGTTTCAACGGCGGCCGTTGGCGACCTCGTACGACAGTGTCTGGGACGAATCAACCGCGCAGATCGTGCCGAGTTACAAGAAGCTGCGGAAGCGCTAGGAGCCGGCTACCTTCGGCTCATGGGCCTTATAACCGATGCCGGTCAGATTCTGGCTGCGTCAGGCGGCGGCGGGGCCGGCGGGGGCTCTTCCGGCGCCGCTGCCGCTGCCGCCGTAACTAGACAGACGCAGGGGGATGGCGGCGGCGGCGGTAGCAGCGATGTCGGTGGGGATGAAGCTGCGGTCGTGAATTCCGATTGCGTCGGAGAGCGCGTGGGAAGCCGTCTCTCCCCCAGCAGTCAACAGCACCAACCACCGCAGCCACCGCTGCAGCAGCAAGGAAATCATTGGCAGGGGATGGCGCGCAGCGGGACAGCGCCTTCTGCTACTTCAGGGGGCCCGGCCGGAACGAGCGGCATCGCAGTGGTCGACCAGGGCCAGGGCCAGGGCCAGCCAGCGCGTATTACAACCCAAGGCAGGCAGCAGCAGCAGCAGCAGCAGCACCACCCATATTACCCTCAACCTCTCGCGCATGACCGCGCACACCATTACTACCCAGTGCACAAGCGGCAGCGGCACCCCCAAGGACCTCCTCTTCCCCAGCAACAGCAGCAGCAGCCATCGCAGCACGTGCAGACGACGCAGCTAATTAAGACGGATCCCGCAGTCAGGTCCGCATTAGCATTAGCAGTACCGCTGAACACAAAGTCGGACGCTCAGCTGCAGCAGCGCCAGCTGCAGCAGCAGCAGCAGCAGCGGGACGCAATGATGGAGGAGAATGGCGCAGGATCACCGCAGGATCGCGCGAGAGTGCCTCGGAGCCAGCAAGAGTCACCGGCTCTTGGCGGGCCCGCTGGCGATGCCGCTGATGCTGCAGCGGCCGCAACCCGCGGCGGCGCCGGCGCCGGCGGCGGCCGGGATGCATTACCGGGCGCCAGTTCGCCAGGGGGTCCGGCGGCGGCGACGGCGGAGAAGAAGGCTGCGCAGGCTGCTGCCGCCGCCGCCGCTGCCGCCACCGTTCCTCTCCAGCTACAGCCAGAGCTTATGTCTGGCGTATGTCACGTCCTGTACTCTAACATGCAGAAGATCCAACAATCGCAGGCGCGCCAGCTACAGACGGAGGGAGCGCGGCCTGCGGCGGCGCCGCCTGTCGTACAGGCTGTAGGGCAGTTGGCGGCGACCGGCATCCCGGCAACGGTGCTGTTGCAGGCTGCGGAAGTGTTGCTTCGGACGGGTGGCGTATCGTTGAAGGATTTCGAGGCTGTAGAGGCGGCGATGGCGACTTGGGCCGCGGAGCGAAGGCCGGCAGCGGCTGGTCACGGAGGCTTGGCGGCGGCGGCAGCGGCCGCAGAGGGACCGCAGGCGGCGGCGGCCTTGGCGCGAAGCGGCGGTCAGGCACACCATCCGCAGCAGCAGTACTACCAGCAACAGAGGCACGTACAGAGGGAGCCATCCACGGACTCTGGCGGCGCGCGTGTTGCTGCCGGCGGGAGCGCTGCCGTACAGGGCATTGCGCGCGTTGGTAGCGGCAGCAGCGGAGGCCAGAAGCGCAAGTCCGCAGATACCGCAACGGGGGCAGCCGCCGACGCCGACGCTCCGCCAGTGCCGGCCTCCGGCGGCGGCAGCAGCGCTGTCGAGCAGCGAATGTCGGCGGGTGATATGTACGGCAATGAAGATATGCCGCCGACGGCGAAACGCCAGCACCGCCAGCAGCGGATGCCAGCGGATTCAGCCGTCGTCGTCACCTCTGCGCCTGTGCAGTTCCTAGCGGGTGCCGCTGGACGGGCTGCGGGGAGGGTGGCGGGCCCGGGGGATGCAGCGGCGACAGCGACGGTTTCTGACGTGAATGCCTCCGTCGCCATGGCGGCGGCAGCCGCCGCCGCCAGCGCAGCGGGTGGGGTGCCCATTGGCGTCCCCACATCGCCGCATGAGCAGGCCAAGGCTGCTGCGGCAGTTGCCGCCGCGACGGCGGCGCTATCGACGCCCATCGGGGCGCTACCGGCGGCGCCGGTGTCGATGCGGTCACAGCTTGTGGTGACGCCGACCGCATCTGCGGAGCGGATATCACCGTCCTCGGCGGAGGCGGTACTCCAGCATTCTGCCGCCGCCGCCGCCGCCGTCGCCGCCGCGGCTAATGCGGGCCGGGCTGGCGATGCCGGAGGCGGCGTGGCGGTACGACAACAAATAGGCCTTGGCAGGCGCCTATTTAACGCCATTGCGAGTCAATTGCCGCAAGGTAAGCTGAAATACGATATTGTCGTACGACGGGGCACGGCATGCCGTACATTGCCGTTGTGTGGAGTATAAAAACCTGGGCTGGGTTCGGTTGGCTGGAAAAACGTCTCTTGCTGGTCGTCGAGGAAATCCAGATGCTGCTGCGTCATCTGGGTTTCCTCGACGACCTGTTTTTTTAGGTGCCTGGAGGGGGGATTTATTCAGCTTTATCGTGGCCGATGTACGACAGGTGCATATGCGAAAGGAACATTCGCTGCATCAACACGCAGCAGGCGTGTGTGTTTTCGTAAGCAATAACCCTTTCCTTGACCTCACCCAGGCGCGGAACTGGACTGCCTTCTGCCACCCAAGTACGGCTATGTTGGCGTACTGTACAGCATCCACGGCAGCACAAGCGCGGGCGCGGCGTTGTGGGACGGCGGCGAGGTGCATAACTTGGGTTTGTACAGCAGCGACCGTGACGCGAGACAGGCTGTAGCAAGCAGCTCGAGCATGGCAAACCGCGTAGCGGCGCCGTCAGCAGCTGCAGCGGCTACGGCACCGCTTCTGCTGTCAGTCGCGGCGACGCCGGCGCCGTCAGCGGCCCGGCAGCTATCGACGGTGCCCGTCACAGGCGGTGGGGGGAGCCTGGTGGTGGGCAAGCCGTCTGTCGTTACGACGGGCGCTGGTGCATTACCGCACCCGCTGCCGACTGTGGGCTCTGCGCCGGAGGTTGGAAGCACGAGGGCAACCGCTGCGGCCGCGACGGCGGCGGGGCGTGCCTCCGCCACGCTCCAACCATACCACGGCGGCGGCGGTAGCGGCGGCTCGCGCAAAACGGCTGGCGGTGGCAGCAGGGGCGGCGGTAGCAGCGGCTCTGCCGCCGCCGTGCCTGCGCAGGTGGGAGTGGCGCCCATGCCGCAAAGCGGACCCGGTGGCGGCAGGCACGCGGCCTTTGCCCTGGTGGCGGCGCGGGAGGGCCCCGCCGGATCCGGCGGCACTCCGTCCGGTGGCGCGGCGGGGCCGAATGGCGTCAGCGGCGGCGGCGGCAGCGGTCCGGCCGTATTGATTCGGCCACTGGGCGGCGGGGGCGGTAGTAGTACGACCCTCGTGGCCGCTGCGCCGCCAAGCAAGTCGCTGCTCTTGGGTCCGCGGTCTTCCGTAACGCCGTTGCCATTGCAAGGCGCCGTTGCGTCCGGGGCGGCGGCGACGGCGGCGGCGGCGCCGACGGGCGCCAGCAGCGGCAACGGCGGCAGCAGGCATGAGAAGCAGCAGCAGCAGCAGCAGCAAGCTGTCACTGCGGCGGCGGCAACACCGCCGGTCCCCCAGCGCGGCGGCGTGCAGGGTCCCCCCACGGCGGCGGAGCCGGAGGTTGAGGCCGCTGGATCCAGCTTGAGCACAGGGCCTGTCATGGGTAAGTTTTGCGCCGTACACCCGTACGGCTATCCGCCGTGTTTGAACTTGCAGTACACGATAAGTCCAGCACGGGACTGGACCGCATGCCCATACCATCAATTTGATTCCTCTTCCCGCGTTATCCAAGATAAGCAGTCAGTCGACAACGATGATGAAGAACCCCCCCGCCGTTTTCGGGGGGGGGGAGTCCTTTTGAAATATCTTGGTTGGCGTTTTTCTGGCATGCAGTAATTTTAGGGAACAAGGAGGGGAGTTGTGAGGAGGGGGGGAGGGGGGAAGGTGTGTGCCGCAGTTCCTAGGAGTGTCGCTCGCTGATTGCCGCTTCGTGCACTGTTTCGTTGCAGACAGGGATATTGGAGGAGGAGGATGGGTTGGTGGTGGGGGGTGGGGGTGGTGGAGGTGGTGGTGGTGGTGGTGGTGGTGGTGGTCGTGGTGGTGCGTATCATAAGCTGCCTGTCTGTCCGCCTCTTTGAAAAGCATTAAACGAGTCCTTGCGAGTGAGTTTTTCTTTACGGCCCTGGTTTTAACTCTGTTCCAACAGGACCATACCTCGTAGGAGCCCCAGAAATTGCCGGCGACGGCAGTTTGCAGCTTGTATGTCAGTTGGTCGTACAACAGGTACGATACGATGGGGGGGTTGTAAGAGGATAGGAGCAGAGCTTACTGGCTGTCCTGAGCAGTCGTAGCGTTCTAAAAGCATATGCCCATGTCCATGTCTAAACATGTTTGTTGGGCCACGCACAACATGCACACAAGGCGCATTGCAGATTACAACAAACCCCTCTTACCTTACAATTCGAATCCCGGGATAGCAATCCGCGCACACCCTTTTGTGATGTATGTGTGTAGCATTGCTCAATGCGACATATATACATACATACATACATACATATATACATGCATGTGTCATTACTTTAAATATATTATCCAATCACTATTGTACCCCCATCCTCTTGAGTCCCAACACAAATCCGAAACCAATGTACGAACAACGACCGTACGGCTTTTCAACCGATCCACAGGACGAGCCTTTGTCATCTGACGACCTGAACAACGTTATTGCGCAAAAGTTCACCGCGGCAAATCTGCAGAACCTACTTGACTTAGCGGGTGCGAATCCGCTGCTGGCGGCAGCTATTACGGCAACTGCCGCACGAGACCTGCACCAGCAGCCGCCGCCACAGGCGACGGCACCGCCGCAGCAGCGGTACGGCAGTGCAGGCAGCGGCGGCGGCGCCGCTGCCGCGGGTCCCGTGGTCCATGGCCCCGTCGTCACGACCTCTGTGGCTTTGACCACCACCACGACCACCACCACCACCGCCACGGCCCCTCAACACCCCTCAGCAGCAGCGGGTGACTTGCCGCCATCTCGCCATCACCACACACACACACCACCAGGGGGCCCCCACCACCATCATCACCCCCACCATCACCATCAACAGCAGCAGCATCAACAGCCGCCGTCGCAACAGCTTACAGGTGCGTCTTCGCACGCGCACCAGCCTCTGGCGGCGGCACAGACGCCGCCGCAGCGGGCGCCGTACCCCAGCGGCACCGCTGGCGCCGCTGCGCCAGCGGCGCTGCTTTTGGGCCCACCGCCGATGCCTTTTGCAATAAGGCATGACGCGCCGGCGATCTCTATTTTGACCGGGGCCTTGGAGCGCGACTCCCCGCCGGAGGGTCTCACCGATGCTGCCAGCGTGCGTGGTCCCTTGCAGCTACTGCCGTCGACGACGTCGCAGCAACTGCCTACGTTGAACCAGCAGCAACAGACACAGCACCAGGTGCCCCATCATCCCAACCAGCAGCAGACGTCGCAGCAGCAGCAGCAACAGCAGCAACAGGCTGCCGTACGGGGCTACGTGCTTCCACCGGCGTTGTCGGGAGCTTCGCGGCATTTGCCATCGGGGACAGCGTTGGCAGGTGGTGGCGGCGGCGGCGGTGGTGGCGGCGGCGGCGGCGGTGGTGGCGGCGGCGGCGGCACCGCATCGGCTGGCGCTGCTGGCGCAGCGGGATCCGGTGGCGGCGGTGGTGGTGGTGATGGCCTGCTGCTGCCTCAACGAGGCTTCCGATTGCAACAACTGACGCCGGCGGAGGCGGCTGTCGTACTTGCCGAGTACGAAAGGGAAGGATCTCGCGACAACGGGGTCAGTGATGAGGCATGGCCGCAGCCTAATGACCAAGCGGCGGCGGCGCTGCCGCGGCAGGCGGTGGCGGCAGCTGCTGCGGTAGCGGCGGCGGCGCCGCCGCCACAGCCGCAGCCGCCACGTCGATCACGGCGGCCGGAGAAGAGCGGCGGCAGCGGCGATCTCTCCCCCGTCGGAGGCGCAGGTAACGGAGGAGACGATGATGGCGGCGGCAGCGCCGACAGTGCTCCATCCTTGTCCCAACGGTACGGCAACAACACACCGTCATCCGTACGGGTTCTGTTGCACAACGCCAGTACGGCAGCGCAGGGCGCACCTGCTGGCGCGTGGGCGCTTCTTGCAGGGCCCGTCTCAGATCCGGTGTCGGCTGGCACGGGTACGGCAGTGCTACCACGTCGAGAAATGACTGCCGCCGCCGCCGCCGCCGCGACTGGTACCGTGTCGCGTTTCCCACGCTGTTCAAACGACTCCCGTGATGAAGGAAGCCTCTCGATGGGACGCGTTGCCGGCGGCGGTGGCGGCGGCGGCGACGGCGGCAACGCCAACGTCGACGAGGAAGAGGTAGAGGAGGAGGAGGAGGACTTGAAGCAGGAGGTAGTAGTAGTAGGTGGTGATGGTGATGGCGATGGCAGCGGCGGCGACGTCAGCTGGGAGAACCGCCGGCGGCAGCTGTTATCCGATTCGGATCCTGCTACTGCCGTTGCTGCTGCGGCGGCGGATCCGGATCCAGAGGTAGGACCAGAGGTACGCTTCACTTTGCTTCCCCCGCCCTTGTTCCTTTCTCGCTGTGCATCACTTTACGTGCGAAGTCAATGGTCACATCTGGTTAATCTAATGGATTCAATCGCAAACATATTCATAGAGCACCTTTTTCGAGTCAAATTGGTTGTGTGCGCCTTATTCTCATTTACCAGCCCCTGTTTGGAGCTCTGTTCATCGCAATATTTCATATTTCACACTTCTTTTCCTGGCTCGCCAATGCTTTTAGGTTCGTCCCAACTGTGCTACCACTTCCTAATGCGACCCTTTTGTTGCTGTCACCTCTCCCGCCTGCTAGATGTTCCCTTCAGACTTTTGCACATGTTTTTGTTGTTTTTTGTAATGTCCGACTTTTTGACCGCTTTCGTTTTGTGCCCTGACTACATTGACGGCGCAGTCACAGCTGCAGATGGATAGTAAGAGCGCGGCACGTCAGGGGAGCGACCCTGGCGAGATGGCTGCGGTCACAGCGAAGTCCGGATCAACATCCTCGGCTGCCGCCGAGGCGGCTGCCGCCGCCGCTGCCGCCGCCGCCGCCGCGCAACGAGCTGTCTCCAAGGTCCCCGACACGGGCTCGGTCGCGTCATTACGGCGTGAGGAAGTCCCCTTTGTTGCCGCTGACACCTCGGGATCTGCTCCTGCCCAAGTTCCTGGAAGGTCTGGCACGTCGTCCCCTCCTGACCCACGTTTTGAACAGCAGTAACAGCAGCAGCACAGCAGTAGCAGCAAAAAACAGGAACGACACTGCCTTTCGTTTTGTGGTTGCCGCGATGGAAATGCCTCTAAAAAGGGGCGGCTCCATCACATCCATTCGGGTATCCATTTGACGGGACATTTAGGGCGTCTGGGGAGGTGTTGGTGGTGGAACGGTGGTGGAAGTGCTGGTGGGTTATGGTGGTGCTGGTGGCGCAAGGGTTTAACTTTTGCGTCAGATCTTGTTCCAGAGCGGTACGGGATTGCTAGGGGACACATTAGTGAAGAGATGGAGTGGTGGGGTTGGTGGAAAACCTGTATTTGGGGAAGGGGGAGGGCAGAGGGGGAAGGGTGCTCGGAGAACCGAAGGCAGCTCTAGGGATTTTTTTTGGTCTTGTGCTATTGTCGGCAGAATATCTCACTCCTAGATGCTTTCCAATGCAGTATATTGTTTGTGGAGCCCATCGAATGCATGCTTGTGCGCTTTTTATTATGGGAAGCATTGGAAGATTCGTCGGTCATGGCGTGGCTTTCTCCCCTATTTGCATTTCTTATCTCCGTAATGGGAGGAGGAGGAGGGCGACCCGGGTACCCTGTCCTTGGGTTTCGGAGTCCTTGCTCGTGCTGCTGCTGATGATGATGTGATGTGATGCGATGTGGGAAGGGAAGTCAAAGAAGAAGGACAAGGACGCGGGCCCGCATCTGATGCACATGTTTGGATGTGCTGTTAAGTAAAACCTCTAAAACCCTAAGTTAAAACCCAGTCGAGCAAATGTCTGAGCTAATGCTATGACGCTGCTACTGGACTACTGCTGGTCGCCCTCCTTTAGCGACCCAACGATTTAAATAAACACCACCAATATATGCCGTACTGCTGCTATAGCCGCCTTTATACGTGCGTATACTTTTCAGGAAGAAGATATTTAATCGGTTCTGTCGCACTGCAGGCATCTTTTATCTTATGCTGTAATGCACAATCGTTAAGCCTGTGTCATACGACTGGCATCCGTGGGGTGGAGAGCGGGGGAGAGGCTGCCAGGGTGTACGGTGCAAATGCCGGCAAGGTCACGGCCTGGCTGGCTCATACCGAGCCATTTCACGCCACTTTTTTTACGTCTACCGGTGTAATGCCTTGTGTGTGTATGTATGTTTATGTGTAGGTACGCATGCATGTATGTATGTATGTATGTATGTATGTATGTATGTATGTGATAGCGTTATATTCGTGGTGGTGTAAAATGGTATAGTGGTTGTTGTGGCGCCGGTGGTGATGCTGCTAATGGCGATGGTGGTGGTGAACCTGCAGGCGATGGTGGTGGTGGTGGCGGGGGAGTCGTGTTGTACCTCTGTTCCAAGAACCCTCCAGGGCACGCTTCATGGCTCATTCTTGATTGCGGAATGGTGGTGCATGTATGTGGAGGTGTGGTGTATGTAGAGGTATAAGGGCTATGAGACGCCATGAGGGCGGTAAAGCCAGAGCTGAGCCATGAACGGATGCTTGTGTGTAATGCTGGAAGCTATAGATGGTAACATCGCCGGTTCGTGATGTTCCCCCTTTTCATTCTCGTACATGTATGTATGTATGTACGTATGTATGTATGTATGTATGTATGTATGTTGCACAGGCGCCCTGCTGCACCATCATGACCACCCGGTCACGTCTGCTTTTGTATTAACCTGAGTGATTTCTATCATCAGGACGGCGGCGACAGATCCTTCCGCATGTCGCAAGTCCACGCTCTTTCCTAATTATCAGGCCATTGCCGTACATTAGCTGTTCTCGTACCTTGCCGTACACTGGCGGTAAGTGCCCCCGACCCCAGGGAAGCCTATCCGGGGGCGCTGACCTTGCGTGCGGGTACTAACTTCCTTACGGGGCGAGTTGGGGAGCGGGAGTGATGAGCATAATAGGTCATAACGGGAGCACCGCTGTTTATGGTTGGGGCTGGGAAAGAAAAGGAAGGTTATATATAGGTCAGCCTGCGGTATAGGGACGGGGTTGGGGACCGGGGCCGGTCTTTGCATGGGAATTTTTCTTGCTGGGACGTAGTATCCTCTGGGCACATCACAGGATCTGCTTCCGCCAAACGATGCTTTTCTGAAGTCGTGATATAACATGGGAATTGTTGAGAACTGCTGGGCGGTTTGGGCTATAGTGTGGAACCCTGCATGGGCTGATGCCGCATTTTCCAAAGAACTTGGAACTGCCTCCATTCCTTTATACCTGCGGTTCTCACCTTGCGAGGGTTAGGTTTGGATTTAACATTTCCGGTTTTTTCGGTTTATTTTTAGTTTTGCTTTACTTACTGTTCAACTAACTGTTGTCATATCGCTGTTATGTGCTACACGAGTTGGGTGGGAGGTAATGTGTGATGGGCTGACGTAGTTTATTGTTTTCCTCTGGGTTCGTAATTTGTATTCCTTTCATACGTACAGCTTTCATATCACGTCGGTGATCGGCGGGGCACGTTATGGATCTCGGATCCTAGGGATCCTAGGATGGGGAGGAGGTCGGTCTTCGTGGTGTTTGTTTGCAGGAGGATGTGGTGTCCACAGACTTACTTTTATTCGTCCACTCACAATAACAAACAGGAAACCGACACACACACACACAGAGTGACATACAAACATGCAGACGCACCGGGCCTACAGGCGTAAATTGCTCCACCGCCAGTCAGTCCACCCGTGCGCAGGCCGTCTTCCGGCAGTCACCCGATTAAGGGGCTGAATTTCGAAGGCATGCATACCCCCCTGTTACGCCCGGGACGCTGTGCAGACGAGGAGAAAAATGGCACGGAAATAGCACAACACACAAAGCGCACCACTTGTTATTGAAGCTAAAGCTTGCAGGAGAAGGATTAGTATGTGTGTGTGTGGATGAAGGTTTCGGAAGTTATATCGCCCCAGAGAGTGAAGGACTATTCCCGTACGTCGTACGGGTACGGGCATGGCGGAGTATCTATATATATACGTGTGTGTTTGTCCTTCACACTACCCATGAGTATGGTAGATATACTACTATATATGCGCTGTCCAGCGCACGACATCCACCCACAAGGTCGAATTGTTCGATACGATTAGCATATAGCATAATATGACACGCTAGAGCTCGCGGTCCATGAGCCTCCTGGGCTGGCTGGGCCTTACGAGCTCTCGCGAGCTTGTAACATAACATAGCATGATATGATTACTCGTCGTGCTGGTGTTGCTACTGTTGCTGTTGCTATTAGTGCCATTCAAGTTGTAATCGGTGTTTCCTTTCGTGGGTCTGAAAGGAAACCGGAGAAAGTGGATTTTATGTCCCGCTCCGTAGTATTGCGTGTACTCTCATGTTGTCGTATGCCGTAATATGTACGTCTATAATGCTGTACGCCATGTAAAAGTTCTGGCTTTCTGGGAAGCCGATGCGAGTCCAAAACCCGCTTGTGTGCGTGTCTTGATACACAGCTGGGCTGCCTGGGGGCTGCTGGGCTGCCTGGGGGCCAGGAGCTCCCGGAAAGACTTTTCCACCCAGGGAATTTCCCCCCAGAACAAAAGGGAGGGAAAAGGATATTTCCTCCGGGGGATATGACAACCTGTGCAAATTTTTTTAATTAAAAAAACCATCTACACCAAAATCTATAGCATTATTACAGGTATCTTAAGGAAACTGCCTCGTGTGCGATGCAGCCGTGGGTTTCAGGATGTAAGGATTTCAACATTATGTTAGTGCTTTAGAATGTTAGGGTTTTAGGGGGGTCGGGTGGATGGGCACAAGGTTAGGAGACGCGGGGAAGCCACGGGTTGGCTGGGTGCCGCCAAGAGCTAAAGAAGGAAAAGGGGGGAAAGTAAAAGCCGTAATAAGATGGGCGGGAGAGCACTGCAGCGGTACTAAAAAGCGGGGGAAAGACCCTAGGGCGTGAGAGGACCCATGGGGCGGCTCATCCAGGCCGGCTTAGCCCATAGGGCTGTGCGGCCCCTCTGGAGGAGAGCCCCTGGGGAAACATCCCCACGGGCCCACAGGTGGTGAGGGGCGGTGCGAATGCGAATGCTCTGTATGAGTAGATCTGGTCAAGAATAAGGGGACGGGGGTCGCGGGGGACAGGGCCCTTGCCCCAAAGCCGTGACTCCGTCATGGCAGGCCATGGGGGGATGTTAGGGTTGCGAGCTTTAGTCAGCGCATTGTGTGGTGTGAGATGTGTTTTTTTTAATACTGACGCGTGATGCACCGTAGTAGTACCGCGACGTGTTAGAATTTTACAATGAAACATGTTATGATAAATACGTAGCTAGAAATTTAAAGTAGGAACGGCGATGCATCTGATATCATGTGATATCATGTGATGTGCTTCGGCACAAATGTTAAATTTGGAAAAATACAGAGAAGATTAGCATGGCCCCTGCGCAAGGATGACACGCACAAATCGTCCAAATGTTTTTAAATCACCTCCCAATATCGTGAACTGTCACAAAGGCTCCAGTTCCATTGGACCAATCTTGTGCTTAGGTTTTGGAACTCCGTGGTTAAGAGGCCGGGAACGCTGTGTCATTGGGCATTTGTCGCTGACCTGGAATTGGCACTCGGGGGCGTTACTGAGTGCTGGACATGCAAGGTACTAGCCTTTCTTACTAGCCTAGGAGCGGAACCCCCCATTAATACGCGCGGTGATGAACTCATAGCGCATTACGCCACCCTTAAATTGCAAGTTGAGAGCATTCTTAAGGTATTTGCCAAGCGGCTTGATGCACGGTGGGAGTGCCCGAATACCTTGGGTGACCCAGGTCTTCCGTCTTCCCCATAGGAATTACCGGAGCCAAGGCTTGTCGCTATATGAACTGGATGGGAGCGGCCCACCCTAGGGGTGTGCGTCTCGATTGGTTAGAGCACACTAAAGTGACCGTGCCCCAGCGACGGCATCAAGTGCTAATGCGTTTCCGGTTAGGCTGTTGGGAGTTAGAGGTTTATAGGCCTACTGGGCGTGAGCGCACCGCGCGTACCTGCAAGCTTTGTGACTGTGGAGCGGTTGAAGATGAATTGCACGTTTTTGATGAATGCCCCGCTTACAAGAGCTTACGGGGTAAGTACGATGGTGACCTAGTGTTAAAGGGACGCAACATGCGCACCATCATGACTGAGGCGCCACCCCTGGCATTGGCCAGGTACCTATCGGAAATCTGGGAGGCCAGGCACGTCGCGCTGAGGCGCTTCGCCCTGAAGCGAACGAGGGATGATGATGATGATGATGGCCTCCCTCGGTCAACACCCGCATAGTACCATTATAACGTCCATGGCCCCCCCGGCTTTTATGGACACACACCCGCACTTGCGTGCGGAACTTGTAACTTGTATCAAGAGCCAATAGGAATAATCAGCAGTGCAATGACCAAAGGCGACTAAATGGTGGGCAGCTAGAGCTGATTACAGTCGACGAACGCTGTGTGCGTGCTGTGTGCTGGGTTGCGTGCGTGCTGGAGTCAGGGGATGTGCGAGCGTTACAAATATATGACCGGGCCTGACACTTGCCAGGGACTGCTGCCCAGCCCTAACGGAAAGTGTGTGTGTCCTGGGCTGCGTTATGGCTTGCTGCATCAGGGCGTTGCGAAGTGGTGTGGTTGTCGGGTATAGAAAAATGAGAAAAAGGAAAAGGGGCTAAGGTTGTGAAGGGGGGAACGGTTTGAATGCGTGGCTTAGGTTTGTGCGTTGCACAGAGCGAACGGAAATGCTTGGTTATCAACATAGAAAAAGGGAAAAAAAGCCAGGAAGCTGGCGGCATACTCCTCAGGCGGTCTTTAGTAAGGTGGGATGGTGTCGTGGCCTTTTCCTGTCTAGTTGTCTCTCTTTTTCTACACGCTCTCGTCCGCTGTCTCCTCGTCTCCAAGAGCGCGCGGTCGCCAGGCCCTGGCCATGCAGCAGGAAAGAGGGCTTGGACGGAAGGGAAAAGATGGTGATTTTCGCACGCCGGTTCGGATCGCAGTAGGGAGTAGCCGTCAGGAAATAGACTGAATGCATTGCTTGAGCTGTAGACCTCCTCTTGTTTTCACATGTGATATACAAGGCGTGCAAGGTATCGAATTTGCAAATTGGCAGGATCCGCCCGGAGTTTACGACTGGCGGGATTAGCTACTTCGCGCTGCGAAATGGCCGCGCGGATCGGCCAGCTTCCTATTTGCTTGTGCGTCGCCGCACATGTTGTCCTTCTTATTGCATCATAAGCTTTTGAAGTGTAAGTAGGGAAAATTTCTGTCGTTGCTGCGTACGTGCGTCGTCCGTCCGCCGGTGCATCCTGGATCCTGTCGTATTCGTCTGTTGTCAGGACAAGGCAAAAAGAGAGCAGTGACAGATTTTATGCGTTGATTGTCGATGCATCTACTCTCTATCCAAATTATAGGAATTTCTTTGAATATCAACCCAGGCCGCTTGTTAGGTGTAGAGCTATTCCCTTTCACTTGTGTCGCCTACGAAGAGTGTACCAAGCAAGCAAAATGGCGTTATGTTTCGGATGCTTTAGGGCTCCTGCTGATGCAGAGAATTTAGAGAGGGACCGTCTTAAGGCCTACAAGGTAACCGAGACCCGAAAGTAGCTGTCTAACGCTCGGTAACTGCCTTACAGTTTTAATTGCTTCGCACTGTTCTATGTGGTAATTTGTAGGAGCTGGAGGACATCCAAGCAGGCGTTGGAAAAGCTTCACCTGAAGGAGACCTACAGACGCCGGACATTGCCGCGAACGTGACAGCGAAGGGCGACGACATCGGCAAGGCCGACGCCAATGAACAACAGAGTCTCGGAGTAGCAGCCTTTGAAAATGGAGACATGACTTTGCAGCAGCAGGTGCGGGCGCACATTGGGGGATACCGTCCGTTCATTTCCATGTCATGTGTGTTCCACCGTACTGAACCAAGTGTAGCTGGAAGAGCCAATTAACATTGGATTGCGTAAATGCTTTTCTGTTATGATTCTGCGTTTTTCCCTACGTGGCCATTTTCATCGCTGGCGGTTGCGCGGACAACCAAACGACTAACATTGCGCTTTCCGGATCAAGAAATCCTCCCCCGCACGACACCCTAAACCCCCGCAGCTGGCGGAACTTCCCAATGTTGACCACAAGGCCATTGCCACAGCTGAAGCTGTTGCCGGCGCCAACCTCTCGGAACCCAACGGCGAGCCAGCCCCCGCCGGCGACGACGGCAACAACAACATCACAGCCGATGGCGACGGCGCCGTCTGCAGCCCCGGCGGCACAACCGCAGCCGTCATGACGTCGTGCTCAGGCTGCGGATCCTCGGCGGCCGCGGCTTTCACGCGCAGCGGCGCCGCCGCCGGCGCTTCCTCGCCCGCAACGCCGGCGCCGTGGACGGCGCCCAAGTCCTATGGTAGCCCGAGCGGCAGCCGTCGTGAAAGCTGGGCCGGTCACGGAACGCCCTGGTATCCCCCCGGGCCTAATCTCGTGGTCAGGCCACTCCCGCCAAGTCCTCCCAGGGAGGCCAGCGCCGGTAAGGCGCTCATGCTTGCAGGCGTCGGCGTCAGTCGGGAGGGCTCCGCCACGGACATCGCTGCCCTCCGCCGTAGTACGGCAACCAGCCATGTCAGCTCCGGAAACTTCAGCGGCGGTGCCGCCGCAACCGCCGCCTCCGGCGCCAGCGGCGGGCCCAGGCGCATCTTCAGCGCCCACGTCAGCGGCAGAAGCGCCGCCGCTGCCGTCGCTAGTCGCCACATGCGCACGTACGGCGGGAGTGTGGCGTTGCCGATCGGCCGTACGACGTCGACGCCGCCGCCGCCCAGCAGGTACACTAGCGCTTCAACCAGGCTAGCCCTTCGTGATGTGTTGAACCACCGGCCTACAGCCCACAGACCCATGGGTCGCGGCGGTGGCACCGGCACTGGCGGAGCCGCCACCGTCACCGCCGCCGCCGCCGCCGGGCGCAGCAGCGTCGGCATCGGCGCATTGGGTAACCTGGACTTCCGGCCGCGATGGAGATACTGATCTCACTGAGGTGTCGTACGTCTCACAGTTCGCAACCCACGGGTCGAGAGTCGGTTGTGGCTCGACCAGCGTCAAGAGGCGGCTCTCAATCCATATGTGTTGGTTGGTTGTTCGGTTGGTTGGTTGCTCGGTTGGTTGGTTGGGACTCACGTTGAGTCGTCCGCATGACCCACATCCGATCTGGGTCAGTGCAAGCGGAGAGGGGGAGGGCGTTGGGACCCACGGGTCGGTCGGCATGCGTCTTGCATGTGTCGTCGGCACGAATGATGGGGGGGTGCACCGGCGGTGGAGGGCAGATAGAGCCCGGGGGGATAGGGCAGGAGGTGCGGGCGGCGGTGGGCCTCGTGGGCGCGAGTGTCGAATGTCGAGTGTCGAGTGTTCCGTGGAGTAGAGGGCGATGAGCGGCGGCTGTGATGTGACAGTTTTCCGAATTCCAGGATGGATGCATCCAAAAAGCGGAAATTCCGGTACGACATGCCTGCAGCATATGGGAGTGAATGACACACTAAAGCGACAAGGGGTCGGAAAGGCAACACAGCAACTCCACCACCACCACCACCACCACCACCACCACCACCGAGAAGAGAAGCTTTCTCTCCAGGTTTGAGCTCTTGGGGGGGGAGGGGAATTGCCATGTTGGGTGTGCTGCGGGTGCCGTGCAGTGCCGTACAATAGGAGATATTTGGGTTACGGTAAAATCCGGGGAGCTGCGAGATTGTCGTGATTGCGGTGGTGGTGGCGGGTTGCGGCAATATAGGGTATTGTACGGCACGACATGCCGGACCAAGGAGGTTGATTAATCTTCTTTGCATTTTTTCAGAGAGATAGATCGATCTTGATGTATTTAATAGAAACAATCCTCTCGCGGTGATGTTGATGGTGTTGATGATGCGTGATGGAAAGTTGAACCGGTTGTCGCCAACGCTGAAGCACGTGATGTGCGAAGAGCCGCGGGCGGTTGGTGGTTGATGTTTCGGCGGTTAGCTTTTCGTTGCTGGTTGGTATACGTTGGAGACAAGCTGTCCAGGGAGCCTTCTGGAGCTCTTGGGGCCAGGAGCCAAGTTGCATGTGCGTGTGTATGTGTGTGTATGTGTGTGTATGTGTGTGTGCGTGTGTATGTGCCCTTATCTTCTCTTTCTCTCTCTCTCTCTCTCTCTCTCTCTCTCTCTCTCTCTTTCTCTCCCTCTCTTATGTGTTTATGTGCATCTGTCCGTATCTCCATTTTTCCTATGGCGGCGTGCTGGCGCGCTGTTGCTGTTGCTGCTGCTGCTGCCGATGTGCTGGTCCCTGTCGTGACCGTTGCGTCTCTCCCCCCTCCTCCTCTCCCGCCCCTTCCACACCTCCTCCTCCAAACTCCCACTTTCCCAACGCCGCGTCCTTTGGGGGGGATGGACATGTAGGGGTCGACCGTCGAATTGATTGATTGACTGCTTGGACTCTGGATTCTGGACGATGTACATACATACATACATACATCTGGACCAAAACGCATTCTTGTTCATGGCGATAAGCGTCGCTTTCGGACAGCGCGCGTGTGTGTGTGTGTGTGTGCCTTAACAAACCGAGCCGCGCGTGTATGTGCCCGTGTTATGTATGTATGTATGTATGTATGTATGTATGTATGTATGTATGTATGTATGTATGTATGTATGTATGTATGTATGTATGTATGTATGTATGTATGTATGTGTGTGTGTAAGTACAATAATCTGCATGAAAGCGCGCACTTGTCCTAACATGGCATCTAGGAACGCTGCCGCAACTCGCATCGCACAACGACACATGTGCACGACAAAACTGCCGTACAACATAGAAGAAACGCCGTATACAGGCACCTACAGCGCATACATGCACTTTCCTGCGCCTGTGGTTGTACAGTTGGCCGTACAATTCATTGCTGACCAGCACGATGGAAATATTTTGACGCGCGCGCGTTCTTTCTGCGGCTTGTCGCCTAATTTCTTTTTACTTTGCATTCCACTCTCATTCTTAAAAGACACGCAGACTGACGAATACTTGATGGTAAAATTAAATTTCGGTTTTGGTTTCTCGGAGGAGGCGCTCCGCCCTCAGGAAGTTTTCCCTAAGGGACTCTTAGATTGGGGTCGCTTTTCGGTGTGCGCGTCTGTATGTCTGTGCGTCGGCGCGTCTCTTTGTCTGTTCGTATGTCTGTTTCCTTTATGTGTACGGGATGGCAGTGAGATCCTCCAGTTGTCCGGTGGCGTTGGCAGGTTGTGAGGTGGTTGTGAAAGGTAGTTGTTGTTGAACAGTTGTTTCCGTGAAGAATCGGCTCTGAGGTTGCAAAGCGAAGAAGGGCGCCGCATGTGTGTCGTGTGTGTGTATGTGTGTGTATGTGTGTGCATGTATGTATGTATGTGTGTGTAACGGTTATGCGGTCAACACAAAGCAACCTTGTGTCGCGCTGTGTCATATGTTCTGTACCGCCTTGTACGACACATTGCGCCTCTTTTCCTTCCCTGTCTTCCTGGTCGCATGCATATGCGGATTAAGTGCATGCACGTGTATACGTGTGTATGTGTGTGCATATCCCACCGGCATGGTGTCGTACACATGTCGTACCATCCGTGCGTGGCGGAAGACAGGTCACGTTTGGCTGCGGGATGGCTTCTGAGGGCTTCTTCTTCTCTGGGGTGTTAATCCAAGAAAAGAATGTTGGGATCCTGGACGAAAGGTTCGCCTAGCTGACGGGTGAGCGTGTGTATGTCTGTCTGTAGCAGGCGGGTGTTTAGGGTTTTAGAGTTCTAGGGTAGCAAGGAAGGGGGAGATTTGATCTGACTGCCGACGCAACTGACGTAAGACTCCAGGAGACTTGTAATTTAATGAATGGCATGGACGAAATCGCATATTGACTGATGATCGTGGCGCACACACACACACACGCGCGCGCACACACACACACCTTTCGCCTATGCCCGTGATGACGGCTTGAAATGATTTCAGCAGGAAAGAGCGCAAAAAAAGAAAAGATTTGACACGATCACAGCGATCGGAGAAATGATGGATTGGTTGCTCTATGTTGGTGTCTATCGTAATGAGCAGGCCCATAAGAAGTCGGCAGGCCACAAGAACTCAAGGAAGAAAGCACACTCAGGCTATCGCTCCAAAAATCCGGACCAGCGCACTGCACGCGGCTGCTCGTAACATCTCACCCATTCCGCCTTTAGCACGTGTAAGCTTAGCCCATGGCCCGCTCCGAGTTGCTGTGAGTGCTGTGCTATTCAGGCTCCAAATTGTTCCTACTTGACCCCCCTGACGGAACCGTAGCGGGCGGGAGGACACATGCTGCTGGCCAACGGTCAGTACAACATTTAACATATACAATACGATAGGGGTCCTTCTTGGCAATATTTAGTTTATAGCTCGAATTTTACCTCTTTGTCGATCTGACGCCCGTGGGTTGATTGCTTTCTGCGGCTATATATTATATGAGATCGAGAGCTGATATACAGTTTTCCGTGGCTACGCCAGGCTACGCCAGGCTACGCAAATAAAGAAAGTAGCATCATTTTCACGGGGAGCTGGCAGGTCTCCCCATTATCAGCGATTTTCCTTGATTTTGCCCTCCCGGAATTTTGTACGCGGGGATGCAGCCATAGATATCGAGTTTGCCGCCCGCGCGCCTTCCCTTTGCATGATAACCTATGAAAGAGGTTTATGGCAGGGCCTTATCCTCGTGCTTGTATATGCAATGCTTGCGCTGCCGAGTCCCAAGTGCCAACCGGCAGGAGTGCCGATTCCAAAGCCGTCTCGACTTCCCTGGCTTCCCACATGGTGCTGCAACTAACTGCTTCCAAAATAAGTATAACTTGAGGTAGTTGCGTTCGCTGATCGCTGAAAACGATGCAAAGCAAACATCGTGAATCTTTCCGTTCGTATAGCTGTCAGCTATGCCAGCGTTGGCCGCTGCGATGATGCTGTGTCGATAATCCTCATGCATAAGGACAAGTGCCAGGCTAAGCCGCGAGAAATCAATATGCATAAAAATGGTCTGCATTTGCTGCACTGTACAAGCTTCGCAATCTCATAATATCCGGCATGATGCTCGCTGCTTGTGTTAGTAAGCGTCGTACAAGGGATGCATGCTTCTGGCCTGCTTCTACACTCGCATAGCTAGAAGGGGCATTTTGCCCTGCACCCTTTCACCTAAATGACGTTCACCAAGTTCTTGCTCGTTTTAGGACGATGAGGGCCAGGGTCGAATGAATGCAACCACATGACTCTAAATAGCAAACGAATCTCGCACTGAATAACAAATGAAAAATGCAAGAACCTAAAACGAAGAGAGCTCGGGCTGAGCCAACGCCGGCCGCTGAGCCTGCCGAGCCCAAAGACAACGTCTCCAGTTTCTTGCAATCATGGGCTTGGAAGCGTGAGCACAGGTATACACTTGAATAGATTCCTCTCCTTGCGGATCGCTCCAAATCTGGAACCAGCACGCCAGTGATGTGCATCCTTCAAAACACGCAGGCCTGACCGTGACCGCTTTCAACGGCCTTACATACACTCCTTGACTCTCCCGGCAAGCGAAAGAACCTGCAGTGGAGGGGTCGTTAAGGTCACTCTTGAGCAGGTAGAAAATGTTTGCGTGACTGCTGTACGGCTAGACGTCAAGTTGTGCGTGGGAGGGCAAGGAGGGCCCGGCCAATGGATCTGCAAGTGACAACTGTGGGAGTACATCCCAGAACGTCGGGGGCTTTAGTTAGTTACCTAGTTAGTACGCGCCCTTTTCCCGCGTAAAAGCTTTTTCGAAGCCCTGTGGTTAAAAGGTTTATAACTGCATTCCCTTGCACTTACTGGCGGCCTGTTTGCTATGCAAGGGTGTTTAAGCCGGGTTTGAAGGACTGGGTTGTACGGAACCCCCGTTGTACGGTACCCCCTACTACCCGGCAACCATGGATTATTAAGTTTCACACAAGGAGGCTGATTCCAAATATGGGGGTCCTGGTGAAGCAGCTGACCGCGTTCGCAAAGTCTATAGA